ATCATCAAGGTAATGCCATTGCGAGCTTATCAGATCTAGGTAAAGAGAATCCCTTGTCGATGTGGAGCAGCGCAAGACGACTCTTGTGGCACAAGCTGCCAAGGCAGCTTCGTCGGCTCCGGCCAATACTGGACCAGCGATTGCAGCGCCCGCATCGGCGCCGGCAATGGCACCTGCATCGGTACCAGCAGCTACGGCACCCGCCATGACGGCTCCTGCGACCTTGGGGACTGGAGTGGTCCAGACACCTTTGACGCCGGCTGTGGCACCAAAGCTGATGCCTACTTCTTTGGCACCTTCGCATGCCGCTCCGGGAGGATTTCCGCCGATGCCGCATTTTCCTCCGGGTTTTTCGACGGCAGGGTATTCAGTGCCAAGTTCCCCTTGCAGCAGTGGGTGCGCCAGCGGCAGCGTTGGACCACCACAACCATCCTATAAGCGAATGCGCGCCGCTGATGGGAGCTGGGCTTGGGTAAACGAACTTTAGGAGAGAGATTCCTATAGCATTCCGGGGGCGTAAGGCCCTAGGTATTGCTCCAGCACTGAAGCCTGCTGTCCCTCGAGGAAGAAGAGTGTGCTTGGGGTTGAACTTTGTTTGAACTTCAATTGAACTCCCTGTTGTCTTGTTCAAGTTTTCTTGTTGAGTCAAGGGCATGCACGTTTGTGATCTTGAGGGGTTGAAGTATTGTGCATTGCCATGTCTGAACTTGACAGGATGAAAAGGGAAGAGGCCAGGGGTTCAGAGAAGTGAGATCACGAAGAGATCGAGGGTTGAGAACTGTGAGAATCAGAGATGTCTTTTGCATTTGCACCATGTACCATGGCAAACAGTAAAGAGGGTTTGTAGCTAGCAGGGTGACTAGTTTCATTTGATTGCTGTGGACTTTGGACCGGATGACATTTGATGTCGAGTCGATTGGTTGCAGTTGAGGGAGAACGCGCGCACCACCAGATCGAATCAGCCCTACATGCAAGAGTGCAAGGTCTACATGCTTTGGTACAGGAAATCGAACAAACAGTAGACTATATGCCTCAAGATGTACAGGGTGCTCTCCTCACTCCCCTGGCTGACCTACACTCCCAACTTTGTGGCCTGGTGTACGTAGCCTGGTTGCTCTCCCTTCTGCATCCGCATGCTGATGATCATGACCAGTAATTACAGGGTCGTAGTGACATGCCTCTGCTGCAACATGATGTTCCCTTTTTTCTTACGGTACATTTTGGACAGGTGCCCCCTACTAAAAGCTAGATGCAGTTGATCCTCTGCAGATGCACTTTGCTGTAATGTTTGGCTCGCAGCAGGTCGTAGCGCCCTGCATACATAAGTGAGGTCAGCCTTAGCTGACATCACCATTGTTGCCATTCGTTTGCTTGTGGCGCTCAGGGCAACTGCCAGCCTTAGCTGGCGGGGGCTGCACTCGTATCTTAGAGCAGAGCAACGCCAATGTCACATGATCCGTGGATGGAGGACAGTAATTCACTGGACCTAACGGACGGGTTGGAGGACAGAGTCCACGTGCCTTTTGCATACACACGTGATCATGCGGAGTGGCTGACAGCAGATGGCCAGGCCAGCTTTGCCAGGGGTACGGAGGCTAGCGTGGAGCAGTCCCAGGAGGATGCTTATGCAGCGATGGCTATGAAAGACACTCTCAGCAGTCCTTTCGGCCTTGATTCCGCCTGCCCTACTCTCGGTTTGTCTGATGTTCGTGCGCAGCCACCCAAAAAGGACGACGGTTATTCCACTCTTGAAACAGAGGGTGACCTGCCGGATACTACTGCCATCATTCGGACACTTATGTTACACCGTGATTTGATCATGAACAATCAAATGATCTACCTAATAGTGGACAATCGCATGCCGGCAGATGTCCCGCATTGGCCGGCTTTTGCAGCATGGTGGGCCTCACGTAGGTGCCTAGTGGGTCCCCAAGAAGAAGCAACTGACATACTTTGGGTTTGTGCGGATGCTACTACTGGCCTTCACAAGGTTCCATACTACTGGGCAGGAGTCTTTGTGTTAGAGGCAGCGCGTTTCTTGTATCCTGC